ACACACACACGCACACGCACGCGCACATACACACACACGCGCGCGCACGCGCACACACACACACAACCGCTCGCTCACATGCCCTTAAGTTATTTATGACTGACTGACTTACTACTCATGATAAATACGTTATTTATTTGTGTCCTTGTCCTTCGTGTCTGCATATTGCCTTCACAGAAGTTTCGAGATTTACGAATCAATATTTCTATATGCGCTCGACGGACACGTACAATGATAGCGCTCGCGTCTTTTGAAGGTGATATATTATATTATATGTTATTATAACCCTGTACGTTTCACACCTGTGTGTTCACCCTATTATCTGTAATTAGCACCTGGCACACTTGTGTGCTCACCCTATCACCTGTAAGTAGCACATGACACACCTGTGTGTTCACCCTATCACCTGTAATTAGCACATGACACACCTGTGTGTTCACCCTATCACCTGTAATTAGCACCTGGCGCACCTGTGCTTGCAGGCGGCTGGTGGATAAGCTGGAGAACATGAAGCGGAATGCGATGGGGAACGGAGAGAGTCAGTGCATCCTCTGCGGAGACGAGTTCGGCATCCTCGGCGCCTCCCCGACCCACTGTGACGACTGCAGGAAGGTAGGCGACGCAGCGAAGGAAGCCAGGAAGCTGTGAAGCCATGTCTCATCCCGTTACGACGACGTCTTACTAAGTGTCACCATGTGTCACCGTCGTGTTACCACTGGTTATCATGTGTTATCATGCGTTATCGTATGTTGTCATGTGTTTTATTGTGTGTTATCATGTGTTGTCATGTGTTTTATTGTGTGTTATCATGTGTTGTCATGTGTTTTATTGTGTGTTATCATGTGTTACCATGTGTTATCGTACGTTACAATGTGTTATGTTACAATGTTATAATGTGTTTCCATACGTTATGTGTTATCATATTTTATCATGTGCTATTATGTGATATTATGTGTTTCCATGTGTTATGATGTGTTATCATGTGTTATCATGTGTTTTCATGTGTTACCATGCGTTATAATGTGTTATTACTTGTTATCATGTGTTTCCACGTGTTATCACGTGTTATCACGTGTTTTCAGATGTTACCAGGTGTTACCATGTATCTCCAGGCATTAATATGTGTTATTATACACTTTCTCCGTTGTTTTTTTCCTACTCGCAGGCCGTGTGCACCAAGTGCGGTGTAGACACGACGAATTCACACAACCAGCCGCTGTGGCTCTGTAAGATCTGCAGCGAGCAACGAGAGGTGAGCAACCCAGCTTCTGAAGTAGCAGCAGTAGTGGTGGTAATACAGTAGCAGTAGCAGTAGCAGTAGCAGCAGTAGCAGTAGTAGCAGTAGCAGTAGCAGCAGTAGCAGTAGTAGCAGCAGCAGCAGTAGCAGCAGCACCACCACCACCACCAGCAGCAGCAGCAGCAGCAGCAGCAGCAGCAGCAGACAGCAGGCAGACACAGCACACAGCAGCAGCAGCAGCAGCAGAGCACAAGCAGAACGAGCCAAATCACAGCAGCAACGCAGCAGAAGCAGCAGCAGCCAGCGCAACAGCAGCGCAACGCCAGCAGGCAGCCAGCAGCGCGCGTGAACGACATTATTTAAGTACAGGAATCCATGGTCGCTGGTTAACTCGGCGCAGACTAAGTGACTGCGGGCTCTCGTACGCCTACATCATGTTAATAAGAGAAAGAAGAGAGAGAGTGAGAGAGAGAGAGAGGAGAGATGAGACGAGAGAGAGAGAGAGAGAGAGAGAGAGATGCAGAGCAGTGAGAAGTTGTAGAGTGAAGTGAGTGAAGTGAGAGTTGAGAGTGAGGAGAGACAGAGAGAGAGAGAGAGAGAGAGAGAGAGAGAGAGAGAGGAGAGAGACAGTGAGAGAGAGAGAGTGAGAGAGAGAGAGAGAGAGAGAGGAGAGAGTGAGAGTGAGAGTGAGAGTGAGAGAGAGAGAGAGAGAGTAGAGAGAGAGAGAAGAGAAGAGAGTGAGAGTGAGAGTGATGAGTTGAGAGTGAGAGTGGAGAGGGAGAGAGCGAGAGGGAGAGGGAGAGGGAGAGAGAGAGAGTGAGAGTGGAAGAGAGAACGAGCGAGTGAGGAGAGAGAGAGAGAGAGAGAGAGAGAGAGAGAGAGAGTAGATAAGAGAGCAAGAGAGGAGAGATGAGAAGAGAGAGAGAGGGTGAGAGCGGAGAGAGGAGAGAGAGAGAAAGAGAGAGAAAGAGGAGAGAAAGAGAGAGAGACAGAGAGAGACGAGGAAAGAGAGAAAGAAGAGAGAGATGATATGAGAGAGAGAGAGAGTGGAGAGAGAGAGAGCGATAGTGAGAAAGATGGAGAAGCGGAAGAGAGAGAAGAGAGAGAGAAGAAAATAAGAAAGGATACCTCAAAGGCCTCAAATCAATGCCTCAATCACCGCGGAAAACGTTCGAGAGTCGAGTTGCCAAGCTAACATGCCCGCGCAACACGTTGAGTTTTTTATGCAAGTAAAGAATGACGCCATGGTAAATTACGTCAAGCGAAAAATCCGCCTGCACACGGGTAAATGACCCTCATGCGCCATTTTACGTTGAGTTAAAATATATTCACGTGTGCGCCGGGCTTAACACCAGGTTGCTCGATCTACCACGGTGGCCGTACGGACCGCGTAGAGATATATCCACTTCCGCCCATCACGGCATGTCTATGCAAAGCAGAACCGCCATGCTAAGTAAAATCAACCCTAGCAAACGAGCGATAGCTTAGTAAGGCCAAAAAAAATATAGGTGTGTTAACGGCTTTCCCGATGACCCATATTTATTCCAAGGACCATAAACATTTATGTGCATATTTGCTTTAAAAAGTCAGAAAAAAAATTTCTGAAAATATGAATGCGACAGCTTCTGCCTTTCAGACAAGGCACAATACGCTACATCATTCGGACATGGTTCGTACATAAATATTTCAAGAAAAATAAAATGTTTTCGCCTACCTACCTACCCTATTTTTTTCGACGGTAACCACACATATAATTTGGTTTGGCTAAAGGCAGCGTGTCAAGAGAAGGACGATCTATATTAATTGTAAGCAGCGGTGAATTGATTAGGTAAATGTGTGTGTGTGTGTGTGTGTGTGGCGTGGCGTGTGTGTGTGTGCGTGCGGTGCGTGCGCTGCGTGCGTTGCGTGCGTGCGTGCGTGCGTGCGTGCGTGCGTGCTTAGCGTGCGCTGTGTGTGCGGCCAGCGGTCGGGCTGTCAGCTATAGCTGTGAGAGAGTCTGTAGAGGCGTGCGTCTGAGTGAGCGAACTTGTGAGCTACTGTGAGTTTTCTGTGAGTTCTGTGAGCTTAGTGCTGAATGAGAGCGGCGTGCGGTTGAGCGAGCGTCCTTCTCGTCGTTTGCAAAGCAATTCTCGAAGCGATAAAGCAGTATTGCCTGCATTATGCGGCGTGCAGGCTGCCGAGCGCGGCGATCTATCTAAAACGGCAAGTTCTACTAACGTCGCGCGCTTCCGTTTGCAATATTTGTGTTGCACTATTGCACAATACGTGATGAGTGCTTGTGCCGTGCTGTGCGTGCTGTACGTGTGTGTGTCGTGCGGCTGGCGTGCGTGCGCGTGTGCGTGACGGTGTCGTGAGTGCGTGAGTGTGCGTGCGGGATGTGTGGCGTGTGTTTGCCGTAGCTATGCGTTAGTATGTCATTTTTTGCATGTCTTTTTTATTTTATTTTATTTTTTTTTTTATTTTTTATGCGGAATCTTTTTGACGCAATAAGAAAGCCTAATCCTCACACACCACACACACACAACACACAACACACACACACACACACACACACACACAACACACGCACACGCACACGCACACGCAACACATCACACACACACATCACACACACACACACACACGCACACGCCACACGCACACGGCACAACACAACAACCACACACACACACACATACACACACACACCACAACACGCACACACAACACACACACACATCACACACACGCCACGAATACACACACACACACACACGACCACACACACACACACGCAATGCACGAATACCACCACACACCACGGGACACGCACGCACCACTGCCACGCACGCACGCACGAGCACGCACGCAACGCACGAACACACAACCACGCACTACACACACACACGCACCACAGCACGCACACACACAACTACACGCCGCCACGCACACACACACGCACACACATTCAAACACGCCACACACACACCACACACACATCACACACACACACACATCACACACACAGCACACACACACCGCCCCCAACGCACGCGATGCACGCACGCACGCACACACACACACACACACACCACACAATCAGCGCACACACACAGACACACACCAACACACACACACACACACACACACACACACACCGACACGCCCGATCCCCCCACACGAATTTCCTAACATCCAACCTCACTCCCGCGACGCAGAGAAAAATTGAATTTAAGAGTGGCGAAAAAACGCCAGAGCGCGACTAGCGGAGCACGTAGAGGCAATAACCAGGCCAGCGTAATGCGCAGCAAGTAATGAGCGAACAAAAATCTCAGCACGCGTAAAACTGCGATTTCAATTTTCTGTCGATTTATGTTTTTCGACGAATACGATATTCGCGCATGCGGGGGCAATTCTCGGCGAGTCTATGAGCGATTATTACAATAAGTCACCACATGATAAGCATACATGATAAGCATACATGATAAGCATATATGATAACACTAAATGATTAAGCATATACGGATAAGGAATACTAGAATAGACTACTCACTGCTGCGCTTGCTGCTGCTGCTGGTGCTGGTGTGCTGCTGTGCTGCCTGCTGGCTGCTGCTGCTGCTGCTGCTGCATGCTGTACTGTCTGCTGCTGCTGGCGCTGCTGCTGCTGCTGCTGCTGCTACTTACACTACTACTACTCTACAACATACTACTACTACACTACTAGTACTACTACATACTACTACTAGCTAGCTACTACTACTACTGTCACTACGACTGCTGTGCTACTATGCTGCTACTGCTGTCTACTTGCTACTACTACCTACTCTATTGCTAGCTGCCTACTATCTACTACTACTACTAACTATACTACTACAACAATATACAAATACTATAATCATAATATAATATAGTATACTATATCTGGCGTAATTGTTACTCAACGTGAAGAATTTCCACATCTCTCCTCCGCAGATGTGGAAGACGATCGGGCAGCCCTGGTTCTTCAAGGGCAATCCCCAAGTTACGTGATCCCGGACAAGAAGGCATCCGCGGGCAAGGTGGGGCCGCGCTGAACATTGAGGCGCCGCGGCGCGCGAGGAGGACTCCAAGAGCTAACAACAGTGGTCGCCGCGGACGAGGTCAGGTAGGTCGTGTCAAGTTTGTCGCCGGGCAGAGGTCAGGGTAGGCTCGCGTCAAACGGCGTGCGGGCCGAGAGTTAGGGTAGGTCGTGTCAAGCGTCGTGCGCTGTGCGAGGTCAGGTACGTCGCGTCAAGTCGTGCGTGGCGAGGTCATGGGTAGGTGAGCTGGTCACAGTCGTGTGAGCGTAAAGTCAGGGTAAGTCGGTCAAGGCTCGTGGGGCGAGGTCAGGGTAGGTTGTGTCAAGGTCGTGTGGGTAAAGTCAGGGTAGGTCGTGTCAAGGTCGTGTCGGCGAGGGCAGGTAGGTCGCATCAGGGTCATGGCGGCGAGGTCAGCGGTAGGCGCGTCAGGGTCGGCAATGTGTCGCATCAAGGTCGTGCGGCGAGGTCAGGGTAGGTCGCATCAAGGTCGGCATATGTTGCATCAAGGTTGCGCATGCGATGGTCAGGGTAGGTCGCATCAAGGTCGGCATATGTTGCCATCAAGGTCGGCGCGGCAAGGTCAGGGTAGGTCGCGTCAGGTCGCGCAGGCGAAGGTCAGGGTAGGTCGCATCAAGGTCGGCATCTGTTGCATCAAGGTCGCGCAGGCGAGGTTAGGGTAGGTCGCATCAAGGTCGTGCACACCACGGACGCCCTCTGGTGATGACGCTGTTTGGTAAGTGATAGGGGACGGTGTTTCACAAACCCATTATATGTAAAAATGGTGCCGATCGCAATATATGCAGTTAAATACGGCCATCTTGCAGTTTTCATCTCACATATGTGGATGTACTGACAACTGGGTGTGCTGTTAGTCTAAGAAAATGATGGTTCTCATAAAAAATCTCCCGTAATGGATGGTTTGACAAGCCTTTGAGTATAAATAATGCTGCTGCTGCTTTCTAAGAAAAATGTTTGCGCTCCAACTCAAGACGAAATGCGATTTGCTCTCGCGCGTTCCGTGCGTCCGTACTAACGAGTGCGGCGGTGGCGCCCCCTGTGCGTGTTTCAGCGAGCTACGGCGACAGCGACGACCGCGAAAGCGAGACGGACAGCGATGAGGATGAGATCAGCATTGGCAAGGCCTCGCGCCAGAAACAACGCGACTCACTCGGTAAGATTCCCTCACCCCGGCCCACCTCGCCCGGCTTATAATATACACATCACCACCCACCCCACTATCCTTCCCTCTGCGACCTTTTCCCAAGCGACCTCCTCTCTCGGCAGGGCTGGCGCGCTCCACATACCACCCACGACCTCCCAGCGACCCTCTCTCTCTGGCCTCCCGACATACAGCCCACAACCTTCCCACGACCCTCTCTCTCTGGCCCTCCACATACACCACGACCCTCCTTGTGACCCTCTCTCTCTGGCCTTCCCCATACACCCACGACCTTCCCCGGCCACACTCCTACGACTCCTCCCTGCGACTCTCCCCCCATGACCCTCTCCACGACGCATCCCCCACGAGCCTCCCGCCACGACCCTCCCCCACTGGCCCTCCCTCCCACACACCCCACCGTCGCCCGTGCTTACGTGCGTGATTGCATGGCTGCGCCTCCGTGAAAGCGGCTCGGCGTATTTCTCGATGTTTGCCGCCTGCATTCTCCGGCGTTTCTTAATAAATGCTCGCTCGACCGATAGAAGGCGACTGAGCACAGCGAGCCAGTGGAGGACGTTTCTGTTTGATCTGCAAGATTCATGAGAAAGATGAAAAGAAAGAGATGAAGGAGAAGGGACGGAGAGAGAGAGAGACAGGCAGTCAGAGAGAATGAGAGAGGGGAGAGAAAGAGAGGCAGACAGAGTGAATGAGAGAGAGGAGAGAGGGAGAGGGAATTAGAGAAGAGAGCGAGTGAGAGGGGGAGGGAGGAGGAGCGAGAGAGAGAGAGAGAGAGAGATATATAAAGAGAGAGAGATAGAGATAGAGACAGACAGAGAGAGAGGGGGGAGTGAGGGGCGAGAGAGAGTGAGAGAGAGAGAGAGAGAGAGAGAGAGAGAGAGAGAGATATAGAGACAGACAGACAGAGAGAGAGGTGAAGGGAGATAGAGAGAAAGAGAAAAAAAACGAAAGATTGAGTCTCTCCACTATGATATCTCTGTATTTTTCCTAAGCTATGCTTTCTCTTTCGCATCGCTTTATAAAGGAGGGCAGCAGCAGCAGCAGGCGACCAGTATGACAATAGGTACGGACACCGATGTCAGTTACTATAGTGCTCATAGGGTCTATGTCTCACAGGGTACTGCCGGAACGTACCCTGGTACGTCCGGTATACCGAACGTACCTGGTACTATCTAATATGTTTATGGGTTAGGGTTAGGGAGTAGGCGTAGGCAACTCCCTAGACTCGTTAGTGGAGTAGGCGAGGTACGGTCCGGCATATTAGATAGTACCAGGGTACGTTCCGGCAGTACCCTGGGGGACATAGACCCTCTCAGCGTTACTAGTTGTATTCCTGGCTGTTAGGATATAGAGCCACCCTACTGATATACAAGTCTAAAATTGACTACGTCACGAATTTTCTATGGTAAAATTTGTAAAATTTTTGTTGCCATTTTTTTACATTAAAAGTAAAAACTAACGGGACTAAACGTATCCTCAAATTGTTACCTGATAACATTGTTTCTCAACTAGTTAAAAATCCAAAAAACCTGGACGATTTGATATTGTGGTCCTGACATTAATTGCTTGCTATGGGCTATGTATGAGTCACGAGTGTATGTTCACATCGAACAATATAGTAAAACAGGAAGTATCATGCAGCAATTTAACCATAACAAGTGAACAGAATTACTTACATTTTGTGAAAAAGGGGAAATGTATTTTTAATTTTTACTATTTACGGTGACGTAATCACTTTAATCTAGACACGCACCTACCCCCTCTCGACTCTTTGATGTTAGTTTCCTAGTTTAGAGTAGCCAGTCGGCGTGACTAATGCTATGGTGGCAGATGTGCGAATGGTGTTTTTTTTATCTTCGATAGATTGGCAGAGCGCACGCACCAAAGCTTCACCCACGCACGCAAACGCGTGTCTGTGCTACCCTCCCCCAGCTGTGCAGAAGTGTTACCCTCCCCCAGCTGTGCAGAAGTGCTACCCTCCCCCAGCTGTTACCCTCCCCCCGCTGTGCAGAAGTGTTAACTGTGGTGATAGTGTAGACTGTGGTTATAGCATAGGCTGCAGTGATAGTGGTGTAGGCGGTGGTAGATAAATGTTATAACATCTGTAAATAGAAACCGCTGCCTCGCGATTCTACAGAAATAATATCTTTGCCATAGACGTTCACCCTTCCCCACTAGTCCCCCTCCCCCACCCACCCCTGTGATGCGGTTTGTCTTGATTAGTGTGGCTCGTTGTCATGGTGATATTGGAAACAATCGGGTTCTAAGTCGTCTACTTAGCCTCGCAGTTTTACCGCGGGCTTCGTTCAAATATTCATTAGTCACGTTGCGGAGAAGCCAAGAGCACCTGCCTCCTCGATCTGACTAATGAGCTGATAGAACGTGCTGCAGCCTATACTAATACAAAGAGAGAGAGAGAGAGAGCGAGAGAGAGAGAGAGAGAGAGAGAGAGGGGGAGAGAGAGAGAGAGAGAGAGAAGAGAGAGAGAGAGAGAGAGAGAGAGAGAGAGAGAGAGAGAGAGAGAGAGACGAGAGAGCAGAGACTAGCATTGCAGGGCTATACTAACATACAGAGAGAGAGAAGAGAAATCGCAAACACGTGCATACCATACAGTCTACTCTAATAATAGCGCTACGGGCCTTCATCGCTCCGGCAGATGTCGCCTGCAGGTAGCTCTCTAGCTTTGTAGATGGCGGCTGCAGTAGCTGCTTTAGCTTGTAGATGGCGCTGCATGACTGTCTGGCTTCGGAGATGGCGCTATCTTAGAGGGCGTGGC